TTGATGAAGGCTATTCCATACGGCACATGGAGGTTTTCAGTGGCTATCTGTGAGTCATTCTGTGACAACAAGCTTAAGGCAATGTTTACTTGTATAAAACCGGGTAGCCCCTGTAATCACCATGATAAGTTTGCACGAGATTGCTAAACCTTGAGGTGAAATCTGTTCATTCGCTATTCCGACTATTTGCCTGTCTCTATTGCACAAAGCCCTGTCATGTGTAACTGCCTGGTTTGCGCTTAAATCAGCAACTATTTTCACCCTTGGACTTATTGTTAAAAATTTTCATTTGCAGTGTCAGATGTAGTTTACTAAACTTAGGATATATTTTTTTCTAATTTTAGCTACAGCAACATCATTTAGTGTTATGCAGATTTTCTTGATGATGCCACTCTTGAAATGAATAGAAAGGTATAGTGAACCATATTACAGCCGTGGTTAAGAAAAAGGTTGATTGTCTAAGGCCCATCACAGCGTCGCAAGGGACAAAATAGTCCTTCTATTTTGCCTAAATCAGCATCATTAGTTCGCCATATGTAACATAATGTCTAAGGTTTTCTGTTGAGAAGATCGTTGTATTAATGCTTATGTTTGAAGGGACAAGTTCTTCCGAAATGCCATCGAACTATATGAAAGTCGCCTAAACACACTGGTGCATATCAACCGCAATCACGACTACTAAAAATCTAAAATATCGATTTTCAACCGACACATCTGCAAGACTTTACTCTTTTTTATTATTATTCCACAGTTTCATCTGAATATTCAAAACATATACACATACTAATTAAGCTTACAGTCTTATTGGGGTCCATAACAACACCTATTTTAATCAGAGTAAATTATGAGTTATTTGTACACTCCGGGTAAAATACACTGAACTGCTGACCATTCTGCCATAGATGTCGTTTACTATATCTCCCATGAACAAGCTAGGTGGGCCAGACTGCTCTTGCATTTGCAGATGAAACTAGGGTTAGCGCTCTTTTTTTATTTGTGGGTAAGCAGACGCTGCAACAGATATCCGATTGATTAAGGAACTCAGTAGCTTGAGAATGCTAACCAGAAAACCACACCAAGCCGGAAATTTAGAAATTCTTACTAATTTACAACTCACCTAGTGTAGATGACATTGTTGTAAATGCTCCAGGAGATTAAGTGCATCAATCTTATCCCCGCACGAAAGCTGAAATTCCTCACGCCGATCTTCTAGATATGCGTTTTTAGATTTTAGTGTGATTGCAAGGCTAATACCATCAGAAGCCAGCAGTTTCGTGACTTTGCAAACAATAACACTTAGACCTTGACCGTGTAGTAGATTTGATTTGAAGTATAAAAATAAGAGTATAAGGAACAATGCTTTATTCAGCTCTCTTAATGTTCTCAAAATGTGTTGGACAAAAGTGATGCAAACTTCCGACTTCAGGAAAGACCAATTACTTGATTCCCTAGATGTCGTTTAAAATGTTTCCCTCTTTCGGTTTTGCGAATCGAAAACACAAAAG